CCCTGGAAGTGTCCAAGGCCAGGTTGGATGGGGCTTGGAGCAACCTGGGCTAGTGGAAGGTGTCCCTGCCCATGGAAAGGGGATGGAATGTCCCTGCCCATGGCAGGTGAAGCTCTAAGGTCCCTTCCAACCCAAACCAGTCTGTGATTCCATGATTCTGTGAAGTAATTTCCCCTCCCAAAACCTACTTTAGAAAGATATTTCTGACAGTGAAGAAAAGCCCTTTTTTAATATTCCCTGTGACTGGCTCGATACAGGGCACCTCCTATCTCAGGAGGAGGATGTAGCACTCAAAATCCAAACAGAACTCAAAGGTTTAAGTGCTCATGTATGTAGCACTTCATACCACTTCCTCCCATGTTCCCAGTCCTCTTGATAAAATCACTGCCACATCAGGCTGTAGGTCTCCTGTGAATCCTCTCCAGCAGAAATTCCATCTCGCTGCTTCCTATTTTTGGAGTGCATTGCACTATTAACCTTGGGAGAGGCTGGACAAGCAAAGCTGCTCAGTGATGCTGCAGTGATTCTGCTGCTCTTTGTCTTGTGCAAAACAGGTATTTTTCTTGTCATTAGGATCCTGGGATTAACACAGCTCTTCTGTAAACATATCCCTAATAGGACACTGTGCCACTTAAGACACTAACCTCTGCATTCTCTTAGCAGGGCAAATCCCTTGGGTTTGAACTGCATAAAGGGTATCATTTAACTAATAATGAGAACAGAGTGGGGTTTGGCCTTCTAAATAATTTTTTTTTAATTCTTTCCACTGCCCTGGTGTTTCTGGGGACACCTGTGTACCTTACTTTACATACCTGACTGTTCCATGTGGTCTCAGGGAGCTTTACAACCTCCCATAAATTACCCTCCATGCTCATGACTGGGAAACAGCATCCAAGAGCCAAATTTACTGTCTCAGTTACAACTCTGCAAACTCCCACAGCCTGTGCAGACAAAGGCAGGTTGGAGCTGACAGAGATGACTCGATTGGCCAAGGTTATGGGACAGTCAATAAATGAGCCAGCTCTGGAAAACAGGTTCCTGGTGCTCTTTATCACTAAAATGAATACTCATTATGACAATTAAGTACTTGAATAAAGATGTGTTATTGTAATATTTTTAGCTCATTGGAAGTCATAATCACGTTCTGATGTGGCAGTTAAATCACTCACTAAAAGGTAAAGTTCCTTTTATTTCAGAGCTGCAAAATGACAGAATAGTTTTCCAAGTAAAATCCACAGACAAGGAGAAAGGAGTTTGGCAAACTTTCACTTTATACTTCACACTGCCAATTACTGAGGACTGATGACAGAGTCCTCTTAAACCTACTTACCTTGGAAACTATCAGACAGCAGGACCTGAACTTTTTCACTCAAGTGAATCCTTGACACAATTCCACATTCTTGTAATTTATATTACAAATCCTATATTTCAGCTGAGATGTCTTCACCTTTCACCTCATTGATATGAGATCAAAGATGGGCAAAAATGAGTGAAATTCCTCTTTCATAAGCCTGCTCTGAAAATCTCAGCCACCAAGGAAACTGTGAAGCACAACTTTTATATCTTTACTCAGTGTCAGCTTTTGTGAACTCTCCCTCTGATCCTGAGAATTAACCTTCCTTCTAGTTTCTCCCACTATCAAGTAAAAGTGCACAGACTGCAATATTAAATTCACAGGGGCAATCAAGGAGGAAGTTTTTGCTGATGTTTAGCTCAAAAAGAGCAAAATCTTGTTTGTGAGCTTTCTACAGAACCTCAAGAGTTTGTTACTCCCTTCTGATCCTCAGCTAGAATTCTAATTAATTAAGAGTAAGTCTGGGAAAAAAAAAAAACCAAACAACTGAACTTCTCTACTACCACCAGAGGTGAAGAAATGCCACTTACCTCCACTCTTTAGCAGGTGTTGCTCCTCTTCCTTCAGCCTGTTCTGCATAAGACGTAACATGTTTGCTGCTTCCTGCAAGAGGAAACAACAACTGGATTGGAAAAGCTGCCACACTCAAGGAGCCAACTGGATGATCCCACCACAACAGTTAAGGGCACTCACAGGGAGAATGAGACTACAAAATGTCAGCATTGAATAAATTTTATGTAAAAAAGGTCTTGTTTGAAACGTGGCAGCTCCTACCTTGACTGTGAGGGTCAGGATATAAAGTGTGTACCCAGGTCAAATAAAGCACTGAAAGGCAACTACACATTCCCACTGGGTGAAACATCACTTACTGCATGGAAAATGAGTTCATTTGTCTTTATCCCACTGAAAACTACTGCTCTTACAGCAGGCAAGTGGCTTTCTTTGGAAAGCAGGCTTTGGCACCTGTTTTCAGCCAATACTCCATTAAAAACCAGAAGTGGTTTGTGAAATGACTGCAGCTTCCTAACACACATCCAAACCAGAATGAATTCACACATTTCCAAGCATGCAAACAAAATTGGAGCAAATAACCCTTTCAATAAGCTGGAAAAGTACAGTCATGTATTATACCACACTGTAGTATTTAGGTGCAAAGGAGAACCATTCAAATGAAGGTCAATGACATGAGAAAATCACACTATTCCAATTGCAGCATCAGACAGAAAAATGTATTTTTAATGACCTCTAGCTTAAATTTAAATTTTGAATAGCAAACTAAACATGATACAGCAGGTAAGATATGAATGCACAGAATTAGGTGCAGATAAACCTACAATACTAAACAGGTGGCAAGAGCTGATTGAAGCCACAAATTTTCCTAATTTTAATCTCTTCAATTCCAGTCAGGCAAAGGAAAGCTAATTAACTGTGGACTGAAGTAAGATTTTTCTGAGCCTTTGATTTTTCTGTGCAAAACCAGTTGCTTTGACATGATCATACCTCCACACTTGAGGAAAGGAAACATGGACTCATCTAGAATATCCATGGGACAGAGGCAGGAAAGCAAGAAGAGCATCTGGAAGTGGTTGAATTGAGCACAACCTTTGTACACTTTCAGGTGGAAATGTGTCTCCATACATCTGGCAATGGCATGGAAGCTGGGAAAGGAACCTTCAAGGCCCATCCAGCACATGAGGAAGTTGCTGGAAACAGAGGTCTGGGGACAGACTGGCATGAGACATCGCAACTTGGCATAAATATCTGACTTGGGGGTTGATATTCATGCTGGAAAAGCCTGCAGAGAAGATGTTTACAGGTGGTAAGAAGAAGTGAGATGTCACCTGTGCCTGGTGAGAAACCAGCTCGGTGCCTCTCTCAAGGGAATAAATTCTGATCCAAAAATCTGCTTTGGACAATGACACAAATTGTTTGCTCTACAAACTCTCCAATGCTAATAGAGACATCCATGGATGCTGGGAAGGCTGCTAATGAATCCTCTGGACCTGCAAAACTGAAGCAGGTGTGACAGTGCCCAGGGTGACAAAGCTGAAAGGTCAGGATGCCCAATCACATGGAATGAGACACTCCAGCACAGCCCACAACAATATAAATCACTGAAACCTCCAAACTGATGGGAAAATATTCTGCAAGGAGAAGCTAATTCCATCTGCAGGAACAAGGAAGGAAAAGACACAAGCATGTTGAAACATTCTATTGAGGACACTGTTCTTTATGAGTTCCTTTGTAAAGGAACAAGTGACAGTGAGGACAGAAGAATGGGGCCAAAGATTAAAAGAGAGGGAAGGTGCAGGGATGCTGAGGATGGTGTGATTATGGCAAGTGGGCCAATAAAGGTTCCTGTCTCCTTGATCCAGGCTGCTGACCATGGTACAGGTGACCTCCTTTCAAGGCCAGGTTGGGTGGGGCTTGGAGCAACCTGGGCTAGTGGAAGGTGTCCCTGCCATGGCAGGGGGTGGAATGAGATGAGCTTTAAGGTCCTTCCAACCCAAACTATTCTGGGATTCTGTGATTGCACGACACAGCAGCCACACACCTGCACAGCTCAGTTCCACTGAGAAGGGTAACCACCACCAAGGTCTCCTTTGGTCTCCATGAACATGCCCAGTCCAAGGCCTCCCTCTGTAACAGTGGGTCACACCATTTCCTGACTGAGCCTCACAGTTGCTCTCTTCTTTCCCTATCTCTTCCTCCCAGTCAGTCACGAGATTTAAAGATGGCCAGTGATTTAAACCAGTCTTGCCCCTGCCCCAGCAAACATTCCCAGTGCAGCCTCCCCACTGCTGTGTCTTTGGGACAAATGCATTTGTGAGGAATCAGTCACCCATCTGAATCCCAACCCCACTGGCTGTTGCAGTTTACACAGTGCATATGGCAGAGAAAGGAAAAAAAGGGGACAGAAAGAAAAGGACATTTCCCAAATGTCATGGGGACAAATTCATGAACCCAGAAAGCACATTTAGAATGTTCACAGCCCAGTGAAATAATGGGCACAGAAACAACCATTGCCTGATACTGTAATTCCTGGCACACATTTAGACAGCTGAAGCTGGCAATTCCAATTCAGACAAATAAGCAGCCTCCCTGCTCTGCTTCCTGCTCCTTCCCTTCTACCACTCCTGCTCTGGGGCAGCACTTGTGCAGTGACACAAAAGAAACCTGGTGAAAACTAATCCATCCAAACAAAATTAAGCCAGGCAAATTCTCCACTCCAGCTCAGTATGTGTCTACCCAAACTCCTGACTGGCAAAAGGGAGGATGGGGTGCTGCAGTTGTGGGGAGAACAGCAGGGCTAAGAAGATGGGGCTTATGAACTCGAAAAACAAGAGAAATGAAGGCTAAAAGAATGTTTCACCATACAGATGAGCCCTTCTCCCCCTTTCCTCCAGCCTCTTACTTGTGCTGCTGCCAGTAGCTGAGCTGATCTCATCACAAGCCAGTGCAGGGACTAGATGGCAGGAAAAAATGTTGATTTTCTGCCAGTTTAGATTTCTGAATAACTTGATGCATGGCCAGTCAAATGCCACTGTCAGCCCAAGGGAGCTGCTGAGCCTGTACATCATCCCTTCCAACAGCTCCACCACTGCCAGGCTACACCCTGCAAAACCTTACTAAAAACTGCAGCAACAAAACCTGGTTTAAAAGGGAAGCCCTGAACCCCTCAGAACCAGGACAGCATCAGCCAACTACTGGTTACTGTCCTTAACAAGTGAGATCTTCAAAGAGGGCAGAAGGGATGGCAGATCAAAAATCTAGAAAGTAAACAGAATTTATCACTTAATTTTTTAAAGGTTTTGAATGCCTGCAATTATCAAAGCTGCATTTTTTGGCCTGATCAGCTTCCACCTTCAACACAGACACCACTCCCCACACATCACACTGTTTTAACAGATGTGATTTATATCAGCTCAGCAAAACCAAGACTGTGACAGTCAGAGATGTTTTTCTGTTGTAGGCTTGGCACTTCTGTGTGATCCAGGGTTGCTGAGATGTGACAGGGCAGAAGATCCAGGGGGGTGATGGACTGGAATGCTGCAGATGCTCTTCCAACACACAACACTGTCCACAGGTCCAGCCCCACTCTCTGTGCAGGGACAGAGTGACAGCTCTGCAGAAAAAGAGACGTGGCCTGGACTGCCTGGAGCTCCTGCAGGAACCACCTGGCTACCTCAGGATGCTGGATGAGCAGGAGCCAATATTTAAGCCCCCCTGTTCAGCCTCTCCAGTGCACAAGCAGGACTGAAATGCAGCAGGGAAACACTCTGTGGATCTTACTCTACAGGTGAATTTTACCCAAAGGAAGTGGCAGCTTACACTGTGGACTCACAGTGGCAAATTAATATAATTTAAATACTAATTAACACAAAATCTGAACAGATCTGCCCCCTCAGAGGGGACTCCCAGGCCTTTCAGGGTACCAGAGATCAATGCTGCTTTAGGGGCAGACAGATCTCTGCTGAGATGGAAATTCTCCTCTGCCTCATACATTTTGCAGCCTCCCCAAGGTCTAAATCTGCCCAAAGGAATAATCAGAACAATCCCTTTGCAAACAGCCATGGGAAATGGGCAGCAAGGCAGGATTTGCTGCCAACAGAGAGCACCAGAATGACTCCAGCTGCAGGGGACCTTCAGAAGTCCCAGCCCAACCTCCTGCTCCAGGCAGGACCAGCAACAGAATCAGATCACAGTGCTCAGGGCTGGAGTTGGATCATCAGTCCCTCCAAGGGAGAGACTGATCAGCCTGTCTGGGCAACCTGTTCTAATGGATGACTACCCAAAGGGTGAAAAAGTTTCCTTATATCAAGTCAGAACTACTTTTTATTCCCAGAGATTTGTCCATGGCCTTTAGCACCAGGTTGAGATCTCCTTAGTCACCAGCCCTTGTCTGGTGACACATCAACAGCCCAGACACAGTAAATAGCAACAGGAATTACAGAGCCTTTCTGGTGACATACAAAGGCTTTCAAAACAAGTAAGTCTGGGGCTTTTTTCATCCCCCTTTCTGTTGTTACAGAAACATCACCTGTCTCTGCAGCACGCTGAATGCACTCAGGACAAATGTCTGCTTTTTGTAGATTGGAATTTGAATAAGGCAATACAGATATTCTGTGCCTCAATCTTCTTTAACTAGCAAAAGTACATGACTGAAGACAACTCTGCCCCTGCAGAGAGCAAAGCAGCAAAGCTCAAACTGAATAAGAATAAAAATGATGCATTATTTGATCCTTCAAAACAGCTCAGAGGTTTTGTTTTAAGTTCACTTCTAAGTTTTCTTGGAAATGGTGTGGGGAAAACACCCAAGTACAAAGAATTTATGCCCTGCAGCCAGCTGGCAGACCTGGTTACCACTAAGTAGGAAGAAAAGGGAAAGAAGTGGGTGAAGTAAGAAGGGGATAAGTCTAAAAGCACAGGACAACTGAAGCTCATTGATTTTCTGCGCTTGGATTCAAGCATTTCAATTTTTGCCTAAGCTACTCCTTCTGTCTCATATTCTCCCAATACCAGAAGTCTTCTAGACATCTCTATGTCTAAAGTTTTCATCTTAGCAAGGGAAAACAATGTTTCTTTCTGTTTTTTTCTCTAGT